TTTTAAAGATGGGGTTTCTCCATGATGGCCAGGCTGGTCTTGAACTCCTGACCTCAGGTGATCCACCCACCTCGGCCTCCCAAAGTGCTAGGATTACAGGCGTGAGCCACCGCGTCCGGCCTCGTTTTTTTGGGTCTTGTTTGTTTTCTTTTGTTTTTGTTTTTTGAGACAGAGTCTCACTCTGTGGCCCAGGCTAGAGTGCAGTGGCACAATCTCAGCTCACTGCAACCCCCGGCTTCCGGGTTCAAGCAGTTCTCCTGCCTCAGCCTGAGTAGCTGGGACTACAGGCACGTGCTACCAAGCCCAGCTAATTTTTTGTATAGCAGTTGAAACAGGGTTTCACCATGTTGGCCAGGGTAGTCTCGATCTCCTGACCTTGCGATCTACCCGCCTTGGCCTCCCAAAGTGCAGTGGAGATCTCAGCTCGCTGCAACTTCCTCCTCCCAGGTTCAAATGATTCTCCTGCCTCAGCCTCCTGAGTAGCTGGGATCACAGGCGTGCACCACCATGCCCAGCTAATTTTTTTGTACTTTTTGTAGGGATGGGGCTTCACCTTGTTAATCAGGTTGGTCTTGAACTGCCGACCTTGTGATCCGCCCACTTCATCCTCCCAAAGTGTTGGAATTATGGCATAAGCCACCGCGCCTGGCAGCACCCAGCTAATTAAAGAAAAATTTTTTATAGAGACGGGGGTCTCAGGCTGGGTGCAGTGATTTAAACCTGTAATTCTAGCCCTTTGGGAGGCTGAGGCGGGCAGATCATATGAGGTCAAGAGTTAGAGACCAGCCTGGCCAATATGGTGAAACTTCATCTCTAGTAAAATTACAAAAAATTAGCAGGGCGTGATGGTGGGTGCCTGTGATCCCAGCTACTCGGGAGGCTGAGGCAGGAGAATTGCATGAACCTGGGAGACAGTGGTTGCAATGAGCCAAGATCGTGCCACTGTACTCCAGCATGGGCAAGAACAGCCAAACTTTGTCTCAAAAAAACAAAAAAAAAGAAGGCTGGGCGCAGTGGCTCACACTTGTAATCCCAGCACTTTGGGAGGCCAGGGCGGCAGATCATCAAGTCAGAAGATCTAGACCATCCTGGCTGACACGGTGAAACCCCATCTCTACTAAAAATACAAAAAATTAGCCGGGCACTGCGGCCCGCACCTGTAGTCCCAGCTACTCGGGAGGCTGAGGCAGAAGAATCGTTTGAACCTTGGAGGTGGAGGTTGCAGTGAGCCCAGATCACACCACTGCATTCCAGCCTGGGCGACAGAGTGAGACTCCCATCTCAAACAAATAAAAAAGAAGGCCGGGAGTGGTGGCTCACACCTGTAATCCCAGCACTTTGGAGGCCAAGGTGGGCGGATCACCTGAGGTTGGGAGTTCAAGACCAGCCTGACCAATATGGTGAAACCCCGTCTTAAAAAATAATAATATAAGGCCGGGCGCGGTGGCTCAAGCCTGTAATCCCAGCACTTTGGGAGGCCGAGGC